CAGCATCTTAGCTGTGGAGGGCAGTGTCACTGGCCCTCATATGTGGGATCCGAACCGGGGCCCTCTGGCATCCCAAGCGAGTTCTTAACCATCGTGCCACGCGGCCGGCCCACAAGTACTTCATTTTAGATGTGACCACAAGGCATAAATTCTACATGCAGACTCACCAAATACATGCTTCTTTGGTGAAATTAAAATACCAAAAGAAGAGATACAGGTATCCGAGACGCCAGCAAAGTAATGTTTCCCTCTTTGAAAGCCTGTGCTTCCAATTGATTCTCAGACCTCTAAAATATTTCTCAACTGAAGAGAAATCTTGATAGACACTATATATAATATAACTAAATGAGGAAGAAGGCATTTGTGGTAAAAACACTGAAGTTGAGAAAGAAAACCATGCCTAGATTTTTTTCCCCAAAATAATCCCCTAACATAATCTAACCTAGAATTTGCTGTTTATCAGAGGCCCTTAAAGAAAGATTTATCATCCAAGAAGAGCTAAAGGTTTGAAATAGAAGCATCTAGAGCCAACCCTCAGATGTTAGAACTGTTCCTTTCCACCCCCCTGCCTCCTTAAAAAAAAAAAAAATCACTTTAAAATGTGATACTCTTACACTGAATTTTTCAGTGGGGAAAAAACACTCAAAATGCTATCAGCAGTCACACACAGCCAGAATCCACACTCTTGTAAGTGTGTGAAATTTGGAGAAAGAGGAAAAACTTCTACTCTCCTCATAGTCAATATCTCCATCTTCCCACATTTTCATCTACATGAGCCTCCCTGCTCCATGGTTGACAGAGATCCTTTCTTTTTTGGGTTTAACTGAGTCGAGCAGTGGAAGATCATTAACACCAACAGTGTCTTGGAAAGGACAGCTCTGGTTTCCAGACACTCATCCTGAGTTAGGCTTCAGCCCCACCCAGGTGGGGAGCCTTTTACTGCCCCTCCCCTGAGACTACAGCTTCCTTCAAAAATCATCTTTCTCTACATTGCCACCCATCCTGGCCAGAGGGCAAATGTCACCGGATATATGATCCCTCATCTTTAATCCTAATCTTTCTGCTCTTTTATGAACTCAGAGGCTGGATTTGAAATTAAGCCTTGGGCAGCATTGGAAATTAGGTAACTCTGCTGCTGCCTGCAGACTCCTGCCATTTTGGGCATCCGATACCAGTAGCTAGAGGAAAATGGAAGAGGTGCCCTCAGAGGCTTTGAGTGGTGAGGAAAGCTGCTAATCCTGTTTCCTACAAACTCCATAAGCAGTAGCCTGCCTTGAATCACCAGAACCGGTATTACGGGTAAAAAAAGGAAGACTAGCAATGCTGTGTGTCTGGTATGACTGGTAGCTGGATGTTTTCCCAGGAAATCAGCGGTTGATATTTTAGTTGGAGAGGCCCACTTTTGTGCTGAAGTTGTTTCTCGTAACTACCTTTTCCAAGTAAGTTAAGGTGAGTTGATATCATGCTAAACATTCTCTCCACCACTTTTATTGCTATCATGTCTATATATTGATGAGGGAGGAAATAAATCTGAAATGTACTTAGGCTTGCTTTTTTTGTTTTTTGCTTTTCTTTGTTTGTTTTTTTTGTTTTCACTGCCACTGTTAGCCTAGCTCTATTTTCTGATTACTAGTTTGTGGATCTAAAGTTGAACCAACTTAGCCCCCTTGTGAAATGCTTGAGGCATGAAATTATTTTATTTTACATGTTTGCGTTTAAAGGAAAGAGAGGGGAGAAAAAAATTATGAGTATATATTTGTGTGTGTGTGTGTGTTTTGTTGTGAAACAAAAATTTTAACTTCTACGGCTGAAAGTCACTTTAAAAGAAGGGTTTATTGGGCCATTGCTAGCAAGAGCGAAAGGCCCGGTCCTGAGACACAAAGTCTAAACCACCCGCAGCGCCAGCTGGGAAAGGCAACATGGCGGCTGTCCTGGGTCGTCGGGCCATTGTTAATGCGTGAAGTAGTGGGGAGAAAGACGTAGATTGTTTTCAAAAAATTTACATTGGCTACAGAAAAAGGGGAGAAGGTGAAGCGGGGCTGGTTCTGGGATAGTCGCAAAGTCCATACGGAAGAAGAGTTTGCTTTTTAGGAGTGGTGGTGGGCAGCAGTCTGCAAAGTTCTCGCGTAAGCAGAGGAGCCTGCTCTTCTCATTAGATAATCTTGGAAATAACCACCTGGAAGTTAATTCAGAGTTGCACCATACATTCAGGGATGTGAGCCATCTTGATAGCTGGCCCCCAGCTATTAACAGGTTAATTATTCCTGTTTCTCTCACTCTCCAGCCACTATAATTTAATTTAGAACATCTTAGAATTTTTCTCATCTCCCTATGTGTGTGTGTGTCTGTGTGTGTGCGCGCATATGTATGCACACACACTTGCATATGCACGCACACATATGCGCACGCACACACACACACACACACACACACACATAGAGAGAAATGAAAGTAAAATTCATTCATTTAGTAAATTTTAATTGAGTACCTCTTGTATTTTGGGTATTCGTCTTGTCGCTTTGTGACTGGATACAGCAATGAGCAAGACAGCCAAGGCGGCTTTCCTTAGGAGGAAAAGATGTGGTAGTGTAAAATGACTTGGTGGGAAATTACTTAATGGGCTGAGGGGAAAAGTTTAAGTGCTCAGAAGAGGCCTCACTCAGATCTTACATCTGCACTGAAATCTAGATCACAAAACATTGCTATCCTTATGAAGATCCGGGAGGACTATTCCAGGCAGAGAGAACAGCAAGGGGAGTAGCCTTCAGTTAGGGGCGAACCTGGTGTGTGCAAAACACAGAAAGATGGCCAGTGTGCCTGGAGCTTGAGAACAAAGAGGGATGTTGTTCAAGATGAGGATGGAGGGGAAGGTGGGGTAGGAGGCTAGATCATGAAGGGTCCTTTGGCAACAGTAAAAAGTTTGCATTTTATTCTGAGCACGGTAGGAACCACTGGAGGGATTTACACAGAAGAGGGACATAATCCAAAAGAGTATCATCAACACTATGAGGAAAGTGGATTGTGGGAGCAAGAGTGGAAACAGGGAGACCAGTTAGGAGGCTGCCGCAGTAGCTCACCTGAGGGACGACAATGGCTCAGACCAAACTGGTAACGATAACTCAGGCCCTATAATGAGCAGAAATATCTCTGACTTCCTTATACTCTCTCAATGCAGTCTTTAATGCTAATCAACTTGATCTCTGAATTTAAGTAACGTAATATTTTGAACTAGTGCATGGTTCTATGATGTCCAGCCACCATGTTGTTTATTTATTTGTTTGTTTTTATTACTGAAGTTTTTGATAAGTAAATATCAGAACATCTAATTTCTTTTTGGCTTACTTCTGTGTACTGAGTCTGCCTGAATCTATAATTTGTATCATGGTGTTTGCCAAAAATTGCTTCGAGTTGTTTATTAAAATGCATATCATCTTTCTTATTACAAAATCCTTACTGCAATAAAATGTAAAGAAAAAAACACTAAACCATGATCCCACTACCCAGAGAGACATCTTATTTCATTTCCTTTCAGTCTTTTTTCTGTGCATGCACATATTTGTTTCTAAGTGGTTGTAATTTGTTAAAGAAGTAAGTTTTGCAAACAGTAGTTTTCATAAGAAGTTCAGTAGTTAAGGGGTTTGCTTTATTTACTTTTTCAGAGCATTCTTTAAGGTGTAGGGTCAATTTCTTATTTTCATCACTGGAGCTGCTAAAAAGCCATCCTCCAATTGGGTGTTTATTATGTGACTCTGATGTGCTTTGATTGCACTGTCTGTGTCTTCAGCCAGCTTTGGAATAATACCCTTAAAATGCCAAAGTCACAGATTAGTCCCAGAGTTCACATTTTTTTTCTTTTCTGACATTTTTCTTCTCTCAGAGCTCTAACGTCATTAGCTTTGCCAGGATCCACCATTCACATCTTCAGGTACTATAAATTAAATATATTAACCTGTTAATTAATTAAGTCTTCTATTACTTCTAGGATATATGGGGACTTACTTCAGTTTATCGTCAAGAAGTTAGAAATCTCTTTCTAAAAATTTTTAGAACTAATCTAGATCTTAGCTGTAAAAGTGCATTCAGGAAAATAGAACAATTTTTTTCAATGTATTTGTCCTGATTGCAGGCTAAAACGTAATGAAGATTCTTGGTGGTTATTTTGCAGACCTCGAAGGAAGATCTTCTGCAGGCTGATTTTGAAGGTGCTTTAAAGTTCTTCAGAGTTCAGCTTCCAAAGAGATACAGGGCAGAGGAAAATGCGAGAAGATTGATGGAGCAGGCTTGCAATATTAAGGTAAGATACATGAATTTATATATAATATATAATAAAAGTGGAACTTGAATTCATCATAACATGGCAAATTATGTAAAACTGTTTCCCTGTATGTTGCTGGATTTTGACTATGTTTAAGGTGATATTGTGTATGTACTGGTCTCTCCGAGACTTTTTTGTTGGGCTGGTTAGTAGATAGTAGCTGTACTTAGTAGTAGGATTTAGAGTGAAAGTTGGCAGGTTCAGATTGTAACAATAGGAAGACAAACATTTATTGTATAGGTGGGGCCCTAGAATGGGCTGCTGTGATAGTGGTTACCATGGCAGCAGACTTAGTATTTAGCTCCTGCCATCTGCTTTGAGATGTGTTAGAACACAGCAAGAAAAAGCCTGCTTAGGCAGTGCTTTCCTTCCTCTAAGGCAGCGGTTCTCAACCCTTCACAGGGGTCACCTAAGACCATCAAAAAACACATATTTTCGATGGTCTTAGGAACCGAGACACCGCTCCTCTATCCGTCTCCAGGCCCACATGCAGATACGCCCACATACGAGTACCCGGAGACCCCTGTGAAAGGGTCGTTCGACCCCCAAAGGGGTCACGACCCACAGGTTGAGAACCGCTGCTCTAAGGGGATTGGAAAGCTTTGAGCCTCCATCTCCCCATTCCCACCCCACACCTGCCAAATGTCTGTGGATCTGTTGCTCCTTATCATATGTCTGATAAAGCCAAACACATTTTATAAAATAATTTGAAGTAGAAATCTCTATTTAGAAAGTTTGGTATCAAGGTGAGAGATCACATTTTTCAAAAAATTGGAACCAATTTGCTAATATTAATTCTTGTACCTCAGGAATATACTAGGGACTCTTCTTAACCAATCGTGACATTAATATAAGTTTATTTTCTGAACAAACAAAGATCCCAGATCTTATGGACCTTACAGACTGGCATAAGGAACAGACAATAAACAACATAATAAATAAAGGATATATTTAGTGTGTTAGAAGGTGATAAATAGCTATGGAAAAAGAAAAAGTAGGGAAAAATAAGCAAGATGGGATTGGTGGGGAGAGTGAAAGTTACTGTTGTAATTAGATAGTCAGAGTTTACCTCACCGAGAAGGTGGAGATGGGTTAGTCACAGACATGTCTAGTTGCACAGGGGTGAGGGAGTGGGGTAGCAGAAGCAACAGCTAGTTCAAAGGCCCTGAGGCTGGTGCGTGCCCAGTGGATTTGAGGAACAGCAAGCAGACCAAGGTAGCTGGAGGGAAGTGAATGAAAATGAGAGCAATAGGAGACGAAGTTAGAGAGCTCATAAGGACCGGCAGATATAGGCCATTGTAAGGAGTTAGGCTCTACTTTGAGTGAAGTGAGTAGCCCTTGCAGTGTTTTGAGTGGAAGTGTGATACAATCAGTCTGATGTTTAAAAGGATCACAATGAAGTTGTGAGATCAGACGGGGATTTGTGGTAATCCTGTTGAGAAATGGTGATAGATTGAACTAGGACAATAACAGTGGGGATGGAGATGGAGTAGAGATGGAGGTGGTTGGAACCTGGGTTATATTTTGAAAGAGAACCAACAGGAATTCATGATATATTAAACATGGGGGTGAGAGGAAAAGTTGAGTTAAGATGATTCCACAGATTGTGGACTGAGCAATTAGAAAATAGAGTTCCCATTGACTTGTTAAGCTCATTACTTAAAATGTGCTCTGACATATGCTGCATTTAAGCACCACACCACTGTAACACTTTTTTGCTGTGACACTTTTGTATTAAATTTTAACTTACTTTAAGCTCTAAATGTTAAAAAGTACAATTCAATACTGAAAGGAAATAACAGAAGAAAAAAATTATATTGTCTTTCAAATGATCTCTATATATACAAAGAGATCATTTCCCAAAGGTATTAAGAAAGATAGACCTTTGAATTCTTCATCCTGAAATGCAAACTTTTAAAGCCTTCAGACCTGATTATTTTATTTGGCTGGGCCAAATGACTAAGGGTGGGCCACATTTGTCTGTAGACTTTGAAAATACATTCCAGTGGTCATGGTGGCTTTGATTGATTTTTGTACGTGGCACGTTTGATAGGTAGTTTTCAGCTGATTGTTCCAGAGCTGCCTGAGAAAGTTACTGTGAAGTGGGGCAATGCTGTACGAATCTGTTAAAAGAAAGCATCCATTTCTAAGAATAAAAGAGTAGAATGTTAGGAGGTGCATGTAAAGTGGAAAGTTAAATGTTTTCCAGGGAACTCGCTTGGCATTGTAGAATCATTGAGAATGAAAAATCCAGGGAAACCATCCAAAAAATATGAAATTTACAGGGAAATATTTTCCCAATGTATTTTATGAAGTTTCTCAGAGGATGGCAGTAACTAACAGTTGTCAACCCAAAGACATGGGATCTGAGAGATACAGAAACATAAAACGTTAGTCCAAAATATGATCTGATGGATTGTTTCTGGAATGAAAAAGCTATGTGCAACCACAGTGATTTATTTAACTGTGAACAGATAGATATGAATATTTTAATTGTAATAATAGGATTGTTATTTTGTTTTATTGGTTTTTAGGGGTTTTTATTTTTTATTTTTTTGCATTATCTAAGGAGGGTATCTTTTTCTTAGATATTTAAGATAGTGCCCACAGGACACAGTATTCCTGTGAAGAAGCTTTTTATGTTAGTTTCAGGTGTACAACATAATAAGTCGATATTTGTATATGATGCAAAATGATTAAACAATAAGTCCAGTTAATATCTGTCACATACATAATTATAATTTTTTTTCTTGTGGTGAGAACTTTCAAGATCTACTCTCCTAGCTACTTTCAAATATACAATGCAGTATTAGTAACTATAGTCATCATGCTGTACATTACATTCCCGTGATTTATCTATTTTATAACTGGGAATTTGTACCTTTTGACCCCCTTGATTCATTTCGCCCAGCCCCACATGCCACCTTGGGTAACCACCAACCTGTTCTCTATATATCCATGAACTCTGTTGTTATTTTTAGATTCCACAAATGAGTTAGATCATATGGTATTTATTTTTTCTGTCTGACTTATTTCACTTAACATAATACCCTCAAGGTCCATCTATGTTATCTCAAAAGGCAAGATTTCATTCTTTTTGTTCTGACTGAATAATATAGCATATTTATGAGCATATATGTGTGTATATATATATATATATATGTATTATATATATATGTGTATATCTTTTTGAGTTAGTGTTTTCATTTTTTTTGGATAGATACTCAGAAGTGGAATTGCTGGGTCATATTTTTTAAGGAACTTCCATATTATTTTTCATAGTGACTGCACCAATTTATATTCTTACCAGTATTGCACAAGCATTTTCCTTTCCCCACATCTGTGCCAACATTTATTTGTTGTCTTTTTGCTAACACCCATTCTAACAGATGTGAGGTGGTATCTCATTGTGGTTTTGATTTGCATTTCCCTGATGATTAGTGATGTTGAGCATCTTTTCATGTCAGGTACCTGTTGGCCATTTGTATGTCCTGTTGGAAAAATGCCTATTCAGATCCTCTACTCTTTTTTTAATTGGATTTTTTTTTCTACTGAGTTGTATGAGTTCTTATATTTTGGATATTAGCCCTTATCAGGTAGATGATTTGGAAATATTTTCTCACATTCAGTAGGCTGCCTTTTCATTTTGTTGATGGTTTCCTTTGCTGTGCAGAAGCTTTTTAGTTTGATGTAGTCCCGCTTGTTATGTTGCTTTTGTTACCTATGCTTTTGGTGTCAAATCCAAGAAATTATTGCCCAAGGCCAACGTCAAGGAGCTTACTGCCTGTTTTCTTTAAGAGTTTTATGGTTTCAGGTCTTACATTCAAGACGAATCCATTTTGAGTTAATTTTTGTGTGTGGTATAAGATAGGGGTCCAGTTTCATTGTTTTGCATTTGGCTGTCCAGTTTTCCCAACACCATTTACTGAAGATACTATCCTTTCCACATTTTTTGTCATAAATTAATGGACCATGTATCATAGGTTCATTTCTGGACTCTATTCTGTTTCATTGATTTGTATATCTGTTTTTATGCCAATACCATACTGTTTTGATTACTATGGCTTTGTAATATAGTTTCCAGTGAGGGAGCATGATGCCTCTAGCTTTATTCTTTCTCATGATTGTTTTCATTCCATACAGATTTTAGGATTGTTCATTCTGTTTCTTTGAAAAATGCCATTGGAATTTTGATAGGAATTGCACTGAATCTATAGATTGTTTTGGGTTAGTATGAACCTTTTAACACTATTAATTCTTTTAATCCATGAGCATGGAATATCTTTCCATTTGTGTCTTCTTCAGTTTCTTTCATTAATGTCTTATAGTTTTCAGTGTACAGATCTTTCACTTCCTTGATTAAATTTATTCAAAGATATTTTCTTGGTTTTGATGTGCTTGTAAATGGGATTATTTTTTAAATTTCTCTTTCTGATATTTTATTAATATATGGAAATGCAACAGATTTTTATATATTGATTTTGTATCGCAGGACATTATTTTAATGTATAGCAGGTGACTGTGAGGCACATGTGAGGTGAAGCTACGAGAAGGAAGGTGTGAGTAGCACAGTCTTCAGGGTTTGTGCTAGGACTAGAACACCTCTACCTAAAGGTTTAAAACATTTTTTTAAACTGAGACCTACATTTTAAAATAGCATTTATATAAAGACCTTGACCATACATACATACGTACATACACACACCTATATATATCTGAAGAGATACCTTTACAATATGTGAAGCACTCATGTTTTTCCCTTCTACTGTATTATATCCTTTTTCATTTTAAACTCCTCCCTTCCCCCTAAGAAAAATCCCCAAACTGAAAAGCTAGTCTCACCCTACTAAATCAGCTTCCCAATGACTTGCAGTTTTGAAAAACCACTGAGGCCTATCCCACTGTTTGCGTCTCCCCCTCCCCCATTCTGATATCATGCAGCTGTGAGAGGTTGTGGAGGATGAGGTATTACACTGAAC